GAATGTAATTCTTAAACCTCTATTTTTATCTTCCTCACAAACCATGCTAATCTCTCTAATTTATATTATTGTTATTATAAAAGAGAAGGCTCAAAGGGAAATGATTTTAGTTTATAAATAGCTCCAATGGTATAATAGTCTTTATGGAATAGAATTATTCACACTCAGAAAATGGGTGGACAAGAATAATACAGAAGGAATTGCTAAACTAAGGCATCAGGGAACCAGTGCCATGTGGGGTTCCATGTTTATGTTTCTGCTTTTCTGATCAAATATGGTCAGTCTATGAGTAAAAATTATGTGTTTTCTAATGGGTAGCCCCCAAAACTCATCCTGGTCTCTCAGTTAAAGCTGGGCCCCATGTGTTACCATCATAATAAAACCTCTACTAATAGCCAAATAATACTAACCACACTAGGTTCTGAGTTACACTTGTCTAACTCAATTATCTTAACTTTATAAATTCATAATATCATAGATTATAAAGTTAGAAGAGACCATTGTGATAATCAGTTCTGACCTCCCATATAACACAGGCCACAGCATTGCCCTGAATTCATCCCCTGTTTGAACCAGGGCAAATCTTTTAGAAAAACAGCCAAACTTGATTTTAAATTTTTCTGGAGTGGAGATTCCACCAAAACCCTCAGTACATTGTCTTCTTCATCTTTCTTGTTTTTCCTTTATGTTACTTTTCCTGGTGAAAGAATGGAGAGTAGGGAGGACCAGACCTCCCTTTCCTCTGCAACAGGTTCCAGCTCCTCCTGGGGGATTCCCCAGCATTCCCAGGCCAGCTGGGAGATACAATCCCTCCAGTGTGTCCTGGGTCAGCCTCGGAGCCTCTGCCCAGTGGGGCATGCCCAGTAGAGCTCCAAAGGAAGCCTCCCGGGGGCATCCTTATCAGGTGCCTGAACCACCTCTGCTGGCTCTTACCATCATTCATGATCAAGAACCGTAGATACTTGAACACTTCCACTAAGGGCAGTCTGATTTCTTCTGGGAGAGCACCATGATCTCTGAATTGGAGGTGCTGATTCTCATCCCAGCTGCTTCACACTCAGCAGCGAAACGTTCAAGTGCACGTCGGAGATCGCTGTTTGTAGAAGCAAGAGAGACATCATTTGCAAACAGCAGAGATGTCACCTCTGAGTACCCCTACTGGATGCACTTCACATTTCAGCTGTGCCTGGATATCCTGTCCATGAAAATCACAAACAGGAGTGGGCACAAGACACATCCTTGGTGGGGTCCAACCTCCATCTTGAACAAACTCAACGTAATGCCAAGAATACGAATGCAATTCTCACTCCGAGAATAGAGGGACCAGATAGCATGCAGAAGCAGCACCGGCACCTCATACTCCCACAGCACTTCCCACAGGACATCTTGGGAAATGCAGTCATGTGTCTTCTCCAGGTCTACAAAACAAAGGTAGGCCGGATTAGCAAGTTCCCATGACCCCTCGAGTATCTGCAAGAGAGCAAAGAGCCGATCCATTGTTCCATGACCAGGACAGAATCTCCATTGTTCCTCCTGAATCCGGGGTTCAACTAATTGGCGTAACCTCCTCTCTAGCACCCTGGCATAGGCTTTGCCAGGGAGGCTGAGGAGTGTGGTCCCCTTATAGTTATAACACACCCTCTGGTCTCCTTTCTTAAAGATTGGGAACACCACCCTGGTTCGCCAGTCCAGAGGTTTGCCAATGTTCCATGCAACATGTTAACCACGACACCCCAACATTGTCCAGTGCTTTCAACATCTCCGGGCAAATCTCCTCTACCCCTGTTACCGAACTACTACAAAGGCACTTTACCGCCATATCAACCTCAGCATCAGAAATAGATCCAATCTTACTGGAGGTTTCCGGCACTGCCTCCTGAAAGGGGGGCATGTCCATTGGGTTAAGGAGTTCCTCAAAGTGCTCCTTCCATCTCTCAGTGATCTCCTCAGTCGGGGCCAGCATTTCACCAGCCTTGCTGAATACAGCCTGGGCAACGTCCTGCTGACCCTCTTAAGGCGACGCATGGTTTGCCAGAACACCTTTGAGGCCATCCAGCAGTCATTCTCGGTACATGTTCCAATCATTAATTACTCTCACTGTTAAAAATTTGCACCTTATTTCCCCTTTGGATTTGTCTAGTTTCAATTCCCAGCCATTGACTTTGGTTATACCTTTGTCTGCTAGATCAAAGAGCCCTCGATTTTCAAATTTCTGTTTCCCATGTAGATACTTATAAACTATGATCAAGTCACCCCTTAGCCTTCTCATTATTAAGCTAAATTGAAACATTCCCTATCAGGCATGTTTTCTAATCCTTAATCATTCTCCTGTGTCTATTTGGACTGTTTCTTACACCTGTATAGTGCAGAGCACCAATTTTGGCTGGGGCCTCTAGGTAATAAATAAAAAAACTGAGCACATCCATTTTCATCTCAATGTGTGTAACAAACGACCTATACATAGAAAAGTCAGATTAAAGGAAGAGCTAGTGTGCACTGGCTGCTCCTTCCCACTCCAGCAATGCAAAATAGTTTTAAATCTCATGTAGCGAGGTGGTGTGGCTCCCTGCAGCCCCGGAGAGGGCCGAGCCCCTCCAGACACCTGAGTGGGTGGAGCCAGGAAGCTCTGAGCCCGCCCCTCAGAGGGACAGGCGGCGACCCAGAAGTAGAAAGGCACGACCCGGAAGTATAAAGACGGGCCCTCAGAGCTCACTAGAGGACCAGCCGTTGGAGAGACCAGACGCAGCCAGCCTGGACTGTGACTGGGAAAACCCCCTGGCCCCAGGTCCACGCCAAGACTGGCCTGCCCTGCGCCCGCTACACAGAGAGTTACCAGACCCGCCCTGCGCCAGCTATCCAAGGGAGTTACCAGGCCGGCCGCTTGCCCGCTACCCCAAGGAGCCCATGGTGCTGGACCCCCCGGAGAACACCGCCGGGACCCAGGTACCGGAAGGAGGGGAGTTAGGAAGCAGCCCAGGGGCAGCCGGCCCTCGTCTGGCTGTAACGCTGCCAGAGCCCACGTCAGTGTGCTGCTAGGACCCCGGGCTGGGATGCAGTGGAGTGGGAGGGCCTGCGTCCCCCCTGCAACCCAACTCGTGGGTGGCAGTCTCCCCCTCTTCCAGGTGCTTGGAGGCCTGGGCTAATTCACAGATACTGTGTTGCTCAGGCCCTGCTTGAGGGCCTGAGCTATTGACTATTTGGTGCCCCACCCTGACTCAGGGCCCGGGCCTACGGTGCTCGTTTGTCACCGCAAGGGCTGCCGAGGGAGACTCCGGTGGCCGGACAAATTCCCCAAAGTCAACTGTGTATAGCGAGCCGGTGTGGCTCCCTGCTGCCCCGGAGAAGGTCGAGTCCTGGCCTAGTCCCTTTACACCCCACTTAACCCAGCAATTTCAGATGACTTTGGGGTGCTTTGCAGTACTGGAGAGGCACATGGCTGCCAGTGTGTAGTGAGGAATATTGCCTCCAATACTGTCAATATTAGCTTGTTATAAAATAAAATTATGGTGCTATCTTGCATCAGGTATAGTGAAGGAAATGCTGTTCCAGCTCTGACAAACCCCATGGCTTTCTTGGGCAGAGACTGCTTCTCCTGACAATGTAATGGGTTTATGAGTTGGATGTGACCCAACCCAAGAATTAATTTCAGACTCCCAGCAATGAAAGGGAGGAGACAATTACTCACCTCACCACCTACAGTCTCTGTGAGGTATACACAGGTTTCCCAGTATATCACCTTGTATTAGTCGCTTGATAAGCGAGTGTTTAGCAAGCAGTCTGTTTTGTCCTCATTTCTCAATCACATCTGATACACTGTCACATCTGCTGTCCCATGTACTGCATCATAGAGCAAATAGCTTCAGCAAAAATGATGCTTTTGGAGGCTACATGTACATTGCACACAGTGGGGAAAGTCCCCAGCAGCAGAACACTCCACTGCTAAAAATAGCGGTGTAGACATAGGATGCATTGCGAGGGCATGTAGAGAGCTGTGGAGGACACATACCGTAGAGATTCAGGTGTGTCTTTACTCTACTCATGTCAATGTTTACATTGCTCTTTATACCCATGCTGGGCGGCGGGGTGTGCAGTGTCTGTACTCTACATGCTGCCATAACATGTGCAGATTTACCCCTCGAGTAACTTTCAGATCCATTTTATTCCCAGTTGAGAATATTTTTAGTTGTAGTTTATTTATATTTAAACAATCAACAGTCATTTGAGTTAACAGTTTAAATGGAAATAAGAAAACATGCTTGAAACATAATTTAAGATAGACTTTATACAAAAAGGATAAAAACAATAAAGCAAATGGGATAGCAGTACTACTGAACAAAACTTTTAGGTTTCTGACCGCCACTTTAAATGTGTTAAAATAACATTTTAAAAGTTACTCTAAACCCACAGCTGGTTGGAATAGATCATCTTAATCTACTAATTCTCCTAGGTATCTTATTCAGTCTAATATTCAGACAAAAATTTATGTTATTAGTGGATTGATAAACTACCCCAAGTGGGTACATCCTTTTCAAACATACAGAAACTTTGCAGAGCATTTAGTCTGGTGTCTGACCAGTTGAAACTAGGCATCAAGATTATAATTTATTTTGTTGGTTGTGATATTGAACATTGTATTTAGCTCTCTTGAACACATTCGCTCTCACACCCTTGGCTGTTGTCCATTTCTGAATGATAGATTTGACATAACATGAAGGGTTTATTGTATTATGCATACACTTGTGAGATTTGTGGATATAGCTTAGCTCAGGGATTCTGTGCTACTAATGGTCCACATGTTTTCCCCTGGTTAAACACCAGGGCAACTCTGCTTTAGCATGAAGCATAAGGAAATCCTGAGTCCCAATGACAATGAGTTTATTTGAGAAGAAAAACTATTTTTCATTTTCCCAATGCAAAAAGAATGGGAAAACAAGCATGGAGAATGGATGACACCCAGGCCCCCGAAAGAACTGTGTACAGAAAAAACACCACTACTAGGATCTCCTAAAGGTTAAGGATTTATTTTCAATGCTCACATACAACTAAATGATAAATTATTTACACAAAGCATAAGTACAAAAAATATAATACAATTTTATACTGTACATGACATAAAGATTTGGCAGATATGATATGGGGAAGACACTGCACCCAACTGCCAGTCTAGCGGGAGCTCCATGTGTAAACAGGGTCATTAGAAGGTAGGCAGTTTATTGGTTTTCAGTGTGTTTAGTCTCTAAATGAAGCTTTGTGAAGCATGTCTTGGGGTAGGAAATTGGCAAGTGGACCAGCAGTGAACCTGACTTCTCTCTCTGAATGATCACTGATTGCTCCTTTCAGAAATGTTGATACTTTCTTCATTGATGATGCCACAAGGATATTAAAATCAATTTTATTGACTAGTTGAGTAGCTCATTGGCAGTTTCTCTTAAGTGATAATAATAGATTTCTCTAGCCCAAAGGGGGTCAGCACCATTACTTGCCAACCAATAAATTCCTGGGGAACTCATTTACAACTGATACTACAAAACTGTTTTTTGTATTATTATATATCAGATCTCAGTCACTATACACACTGTCAATGACAGTACTGAGCGCTACAGGGAACACAAACGTCAAAGTAATTACAAAAAAAGGCTAAAAGAAGTCAAATTGAGACCTTTCCTGTGAAGGTTTCTGCATCTGTGCAGGTGCATGCATATTCATGAAGTGCATGTGGGATTTCTCATAAACATCTGACAAACAAGGATTAAAATACACAAAGAGATTATGGAGTATTTTTGCTCTATAAACTTGGTTCTGCTTCCATTGACATCAATGATGGTTGATTTTAATGGGAACAGGATTCGGCCCAACAGTTCATGAGTATCAATATGAACACTGAACAATAGGGACCAACCCCTCAGCTGGTATAAATCGTCACCATTCCATTGACTCCTATGGTGATACATAGATTTACACCAGCTGTGGATCTGGTCTCAGATTTTCTCTAATGAATGATGTATAAAAGAAATGTATTTCTGGGCAATCTCACACAATTTTTCAGGAAGTACCATGTGCATTTTTATTTTATTTCTACATCAATGGTCTGAGCTAGTTCTTCTCAGAAGTGTGTTACAACATGCAGGGATACATGAAGTGATGAGTTGGCTTTTGTATAAGAGGAATAGAGGGGAATTAGTCCTACTTACTTCCCCCCACCTAAACAAGTGCATGATACAGAGATGAATAGTTGCACACAAGCAACTTGATGAACCCAGTTTTTATATGGATCCTAAAAAAATAACAGTTACTCTATTGCCAATATTAATGTAGTAGAGCATTGCAAAACACTGAAGAGACACTGGATTATCAGAAATGTGATGATGGAGGTGGAGGCAGCGGTCGCCTTTGGGCATTTATGTGGACATTTGAGTACAGTACAAAAGCTCAGCAATCCATCTATGTCACACAACGCGCAGGGAGTTGTTTCTTTGGCAGGCCAACTCTCAAATACAGAGGAGGTCGGGGGAATTCTTTTAATGAAAAAAACAGGTTTCCACTGATTTCAACAGACATTGGGTCAGACTTTTGTACATGCTCTTCAAGTGCTTTGAAATGAGCATTTTAAACTTATTTTTTTTAATTTATGAGAGTTTACCATTAAAACCATTCCCAATGCCCTACACACACACACACAGACGCACAAATTAGCAATCTCTTTTGTGTTCATTTTCTATGTAAGTGCTAATACGGAACAATAAAAAAATGCCCAAGTTCTTTAAACCATGATAACTATCTTTCTAGCTCCGTACAGGAAGCTCACTGATCTTTCGAGCCAATTAAAAAGAGAAATATGAAGAGCATTGCGGCTTTCTTTCATTTTCCGTACTGAGCAGAGGGAGACCCACATATAAACAATTATTTTAAAAAACATCTCCATTCATATCTGCTTCTTATTGTGAAAAACAATGTGAGGTGCAATACATGAAATACTGACCTTAAAAAAGGCACAAGTCATTTTTTTTAAAGAAAGTTAAGGCCCTCAGTTTTCAAATATTATCTAAAACAGGCACCTAAAGCTGTACTTAGGCCTCTAGCTATGGGGATCTGATGTTCAGAGTTGCTGAGCACTTGCCCTTCCCACTAACATCAGTGGGTGCTGTGGGAACTCAGCAGGTCTGAAAATCAGGCCACTTTTAGTTAAGGATTTAAAGATGGATTTAGGAACCTGACTTCTGGTGACCAGGTTTGAATATGTTGACTTTTCTTTCTATTAAAGGGAAGATGACCTGTAGCCTTATTACGTTTGGCAAAGTTGAAGGATGGTAAGCTTTGGACTGTAGGCACTATTTTACTGTCATTTTTGAGTCTTTAGCTGACCTTCATGTGAATTTCAGTCTCAAGTGTCATATACATTTCAGATCCTTACAGAAGAGATTACTGATCTTAGAATGGTCACCCCCAGTTGCTGACGGGAGATAGAAAAGTGATCTAATTATTTTGTGTCACATTCATTTTTGGCTTTGTAAGTGTGTCTTTCCTGCTCTTAAAGATGTGTGAATACGCTAACATTTTCCTCTCTCCAGACTGAAAACTATACACTGGGAGCAGAACACAGTTTAGTCACAAACAGGACAGGAAATAACAAACCAAAATACTATTGCGTTATTCAAGGTCTAACTTTAGGAGTCAAGCCTGATCCCTTAAAAGCCTTAAAATTACTGGGGAATTATCTTTCTTCAGATGCAGTCCACCCAAACCCAATCTGATTTGACAAGAGGCTACCTCAAATATCAGGATTTTAAAAAAACAACACTCCTGTAACTAAGTAGAAAAGAGGGAAGGAATGATATAAATATATGTGGTCAGTAAAACTTCGAGGAAAAAGTTAAGAGCAACAAGACAGAAAAATGGGTTAATGCTACCAAAGGGTTGGAGGAGAATAAGAAAGGTTTTACAGAAACTGCAGGGCAAAAAGTAGTGCTAGGTAGGATGACGTTCCATTAACAAATAAGGACTGGGATGTAATTCATAATGACTTAAAATGCCTGAGATGAGAAACTCCTTTTCAAAATCTTTAATAAGAAAAAAAATTAGGAAAGTTTGAACAATTAGCAAGGAGGCATGTCCTGTAAAAATAACAAGAGGTACAGAGGAGTAAATGGGATGTTTGAACATAAACATAGAAAGCAGACCAGATTATTTATTTTGGGGGATTTTAAGGGAATTAGCTAACAAACACACCACTGATAAGGATCTTGAAGTCGTACATAACTGGGAGCATATCAAATAACTGTTGAAAAGCAAATGTGGTTCCAAGTTTTCAAAAAAGGAAAGAGCAATCTTTACTAGTACCATCCTATAAGATTGATAGTCCTAGTAAAATATTGGAACACACATGAGAAGAAAAATATAATCACATTTGGGGTCAAATCTTGAGAGATGCTGAGCACCTGGAGCTCCTAGTCACCTCAACGGGGCTTGCCACTGATCAGCTCTGTAGGCACTCAACAGCTTTTCAGATTTGTCACTTTGGCCTGGATTCAGGAAAGCACATAAGCACATGTAGGACTTTAAGCATGTCCTTAACTGAAGGGGAAGACTTTCCTGCACTGTGGGCAGAGACTTACTGAACTATGAGCAAGACATTGCATCAGTTTATAGAAAATTAATCCAGCCAAACTTAAATGACTTTTTCCTTGTATACAGAATTACACAATTCATAACAAAGGACTTGTCATTTAGGTGGGTTTAGTAAAGTATTTGATCCTGGTTTTTTTAGAAAAAAATTATTTGAAAAAATTGGCTTGGGTAGGAAGCCTATTCTTTCGATAATTGCTATACAATGTAAGGGAAATGATAAATGTCCTGATTGAGAGGAAGTGTGCAGTGGGGTGCTGCAAAGTTGTGTGAGGATCAATTTATTTAACATTGTCATGAAAGACTTGGCAGAGGGAGTAAAAAGCATGTTAATGAAACTGACAAATGACACTAAATGTGGAGGAATTCTGAACACTATTCAGGCAAAGTAGTAATAAAAATAAGAGAGAGATTAGAAAGGTGGGCAGAAAACAAACATCAACTTGGAAAAATGCAAACTAATGCACTTGGGGGGACCCCCCCCAAAAAAACCCAATGAAAGAGCCCCATAGAATTAGTGGGTATCAAGTTATATATATAGTTGCAATGTAATATTTCTGTTAAAAGGGACAAGGCAGTTTGGGTTCCAAAACCAAGGCACCATGATCTAGATCCTCAGAGTTATTTAGATTTCCAACTCCCATGGGAGTCTCAAAGGTAACAGTCCTTTTCTATATAGCTCTTGGTCATATATACCTGGAATATGATGTTCATTGTGGGACACCACATTTCCAGGGGAAAAAATTAAATTGGAGTTAATAACAAAAATGATTTGTAAACTGGAAAGATCAACTTAAAGAAAAAATAAAGAAATATACATATATATATATATATATATATATATATATATATATATATATATATATGACTAGGCTATTTGTTTTAATGATTTAACATTTGTCTGTGGTACCAGAGTTAAGTCTGTTTACAAGATGACTGAGTACATGATATCATTCTATGAATATCTGAAGGGTGTGAACACCAAGGACAGAGAGGAGTTATCTCATGTAGTTTGTGGGGTATGACTATAAGTAATGCGTTGACATTTAAAAGGAGAAAATTTAAGCTGAATATCAGGAAAAACTTGCTGGGAATGAAATGTATTCTGGCTGAGGAATAGTTTCCCAAAGGATATGCTAAAAGCCCCATCACTTGGGACTTTTACAATTAGGCTGGACAAAATAGCAGAAACTGTATTCTAAGGATCAATCCTGCATTGGCTGGGGGCTGGACTGGACCTAAGAAGTCTTTTCATCTCTAATTTTTATAATTCTAGACAATAAAAGAACCCATTCATTCCCTCCTCTTTTTCCTATCTCCCAGAGTCCACCTGCTCTGGTTTAATATTCCACTCTGAAGGTGGAGAACCTTGCTCACTTTCTCCTGTGGAAATCATGCTGATCAACTGACTCTTGCTAGTAGCGCATGTAATTAATTTCTTAATAATACTTTGTAGCTCTCTCATGACTTCTTTCCAAGGAGTTCAATAAAGTCTGCAAGCAATCACAAATTAAGGCGCTGACAAACCCTATGCCGATGAGAAGCAATATCTACATTCATCTCCTAACACTTGTTTAGAGCTGAGGAAGCTGAGGCAACAGGAGATGAAGTGACTTGTCAAAAGTCATAAAGCAAGACAGTGGCAGAGCCAGGAATAGAACTCAGGATCCAAATTATGCTCTTAGTTCTAAACATTGTAAATCCAAAATATCTGTAAAGTCTTTAAAGGGATTACTCTGGATTTACACGGGGTAGAACTGAGAGCAGAATTCAGCTGAGATCTCTGCACTCTCAGTCCTCTGCTTTAGCCATTATATCATGCTTTTGAGAATGGAAAATATCTTGCACTGCAATCCTGGCAGCTTTTCCAAGGGCATCTGGCTCTTTAGGCGTTCAGTGTGACCGTCATCCCTGTAAGGGTCTGTGCAGGGTTCATTTACCCTCTTTTTACATGAAGCAGTGGCATTTATTTCCAGCAATCTTTATTGGTGACAATCTCACAGCTATATTTCTATGACTTGCCTCCTAGGTATGCTACTTTCAAAAATAACCTTTTAGAGATACAAGACTACTTAATAGGTTCCCTAAAAAGAAAATGCTTTTCAGGATGTAGGCGTAAAAGCAATTAGATTTCCAGCTTCCAATTTTTACTTCAAAGGTGAAACCTTAAACCCAGTGAACTGATTTGCTTGGAAATTTTATTATTTCACTTTTAAGTTATGCCCATTCCTGTAGCTAAGAGAGAGGAAAATTATTTGAAATTCATATGCTTAGGAATCAGCAAACATGGCTGGCGGGTATTGAAGCAACTACGATCTGGCTGCTAATTCTGTAACTTCCAAGCAATTCAATTTTTATAAAGCTGAGAATTCCACTGGTTCAGATTTTCAGATGAAGCTTTCCAGAGAGAAACAGAAAACACAAGTAACAGCCACCAGCTGCATTCTTAGCCCCTGGATTGGGTGTCCACCCCCTAAACTGGTTTAAAATAGCATGTTTAGCTAAATCGATGCAATTTTCTCATGTAGGCAAACCTTCAGTGAAGGAGAGCTGTTTCAATTCTCTGCTGAGTCAGACAGGAGAATTCAGAGAACAATGCCAGTCCAGGAAGATGTTAGGTGAAAAAAAGGCAAAATTAAGGGATCGTAAAGAAAACAACAAAATGGCATCTATCTCAAAGGAATATATTGTACCCCCCTCACCACTTCTGAGAGAGTCTGATTCCCTTCCATTTAACTTGCTATGGAGAATGACTCTTTCTATTCAGTTCCTCACTGCTGCTGAGTCATGAACACATCTTTGCCTAAACTTTCAGCAGAACATCCATTGAAATAAATGGACTATTAGGACAGAGACGTATGTCTGATGGGCAATCTGGTATGTCTAACTATTCAAGAGATAAGGGCTGAATATGTCTGCTTTTGCCAATTTGGAAAAGCTTATTCAAGCAAAGGACTAAAGATTATGTGCAATTTAAATAATGAATTTGCCAAGCCATCAATTGACATTTCCATATAATTCCAGTCCCACTTCCTTTGACTATTACTATTGGTGTTGAAATACCTGCCAAATCTTCCCTCTGAAAAATCTTTAACTTTAAATTGAGAGTTTAATGAATTCCCTTGTCATATCCCCTCAGTCACAGAATCACCAACCTCCCCCCCAAAAAACAAACAAACAAAAAACACACAACCCCACAAACTGGCAAAAACTTATTTGATCATTCTCATAGATACTAGATACTAAGGTCAGAAGGGACCATTATGATCATCTAGTCCGACCTCCTGCACAACGCAGGCCACAGAATCTCACCCACCCACTCCTGCGAAAAACCTCTCACCTATGTCTGAGCTATTGAAGTCCTCAAATCGTGGTTTAAAGACTTCAAGGAGCAGAGAATCCTCCAGCAAGTGACCTGTGCCCCATGCTACAGAAGAAGGCGAAAAACCTCCAGGGCCTCTTCCAATCTGCTCTGGAGGAAAATTCCTTCCCAACCCCAAATGTGGTGATCAGCTAAATCCTGAGCATGTGGGCAAGATTCACCAGCCAGATACCCAGGAAAGAATTTTTTGTAGTAACGCAGATCCCACCCCATCTAACATCCCATCACAGGCCATTGGGCCTATTTACCATGAATAGTTAAAGATCAATTACCAAAGTCATGTTATCCCATCATACCATCTCCTCCATAAACTTATCGAGTTTAATCTTAAAGCCAGATAGGTCTTTTGCCCCCACTGCTTCCCTTGGAAGGCTATTCCAAAACTTCACTCCTCTGATGGTTAGAAACCTTCATCTAATTTCAAGTCTAAACTTCCCAATGACCAGTTTATATCCATTTGTTCTTGTGTCCACATTGGTACTGAGCTTAAATAATTCCTCTCCCTCTCCGGTATTTATCCCTCTGATATATTTATAGAGAGCAATCCTATCTCCCCTCAACCTTCTTTTAGTCAGGCTAAACAAGCCAAGCTCCTTGAGTCTCCTTTCATAAGACAAGTTTTCCATTCCTCGGATCATCCAAGTAGCCCTTCTCTGTACCTGTTCCAGTTTGAATTCATCCTTCTTAAACATGGGAGACCAGAACTGCACACAGTATTCCAGGTGAGGTCTCACCAATGCCTTGTATAACGGTACTAAAACCTCCTTATCCCTACTGGATAATACCTCGCCTGATGCATCCCAAGACCGCATTAGCTTTTTTCACGGCCATATCACCTTGGCGGCTCATAGTCATCCTATGATCAACCAATACTCCGAGGTCCGTCTCCTCCTCCATTACTTCTAATTGATGCGTCCCCAGCTTATAACTAAAATTCTTGTTATTAATCCCTAAATGCATAACCTTACACTTCTCACAATTAAATTTCATTCTATTACTATTACTCCAGTTTACAAGGTCATCCAAATCTTCCTGTATGATTTCCCGGTCCTTCTCTAAATTGGCAATACCTCCCAGCTTTGTATCATCCGCAAACTTTATTAGCACACTCCCACTTTTTGTGCCGAGGTTAGTAATAAAAAGATTAAATAAGATTGGTCCCAAAACTGATCCCTGAGGAACTCCACTGGTAACATCCCTCCAGCCTGACAGTTCACCTTTTAGTAGGACCCGCTGTTGTCTCCCTGTTAACCAATTCCTTGATCATTCAATCTATTCTCTACCAGTGCTGGATTATTCCATGCAGTACACTTTCTAGTATTCTGTCCATTGTAATTGAAGAAGTCTGCAGACATGGGACTTTCACCACTTCCCCTGGGAGACTATCCTATAGAGTGTGAGCCCAAGAGCATTTCTGCAAAAACAAAGAGGGGAAAAAAAGGGAATTTTATCTATAACTAAGAAGAGCAAAGACCATTAGAGACAAATTAAAATACTTGTGTATTGCTGGAGGCAATGTGATCAGTAAGAATTTCTAGGTGCAAAACAGAGGAATCCATCTACCAAGCAAGCTGATATTCTTGGGTGACTTGAATGCTAGTTCCCTTTAAAAAAATGAAAACAAACAAAACATGATGGATCCCAGATCACTACTTAATTTGGGAGATTATGTCTTTTAAATCAAGACAAGCAAAATATCCTGTTTATAATTAATTTTATTTAGCAAGAAAAAAATGAATTCAAATATCCCACTCAATGAACACATATCAATTCCCTGATAATCAAGATCCGGATATGAAATTAACTTTTAGTAAATTCATTTCTGATTTTCACTACCACCACAATTTTCCTTGTACTGTTTCTGGGCTCTTGGAGAAAGAAATAGGACACTTTGGGCTGTAAACACTTTAGCATGTGATTAACTTTTCTCATAAGTAGTACGATTCACTTCAGTGGCATTACTTAAATGGCAGTAAAGTTATACATGTGCTCAAAGTGTTTGCAGGATTTGGGTGTTAGGCCTTGATCCAGTAAAACAGTAAACTTTAATCATGTGTTTAAATTCCATCTATTTCAATGGGGCTACTCATGTGCTTAGAGATAAGCAAATGCATGTATGCTTTACTGAATTGGGGCCTTAATTATTCTATAATTATAAAAAAAATAAATAATTTCTTTTCATTAACATTTCTTACATCTTAAATCTCACTATCTTTTCTGTTTTGTATGGCCACATGGTCCAATATGCTGAGCACTTTTTTCTTTAATGAATTGCCTCATCACTGTTTATTTTATATTGATTTGAAACTTCCCCCAGGTTTCTGTGTGATTCTGATACTGTTAACAACTATTTCCCTGTACTTTACATAGTATCCTACACCTTTCCAGGATTTTAATTAGTATTATTTCATATCCTAGAAAATCAAAGCCAATTCAGTGCCCCTCTATCTTCTGCTCTGTTATGAAAACTCAAACCCCAACCAAAACTCCCTTATTTTTATCTGAACCACACTGCTGCAGCAGCAGGCAATTTCAGATATCTGGAAAAAACGCTTCCACTAAAAGTAAGATTAGATGAAAGTAAAGGTCTTCAGATTCAAATTGAAGTACAAGATACAATCTGCAAGCACAGTAGTGGATTTTCCAAGCAACTGAGCAATATATTCCCATGTATCTCATATTGAATCAAGCCCCAAATGTCTACACACACGCACAAAGCTCTACTTTGAACTATCAAATGAAAACATATACTTTACAGCACCAGGAGTTGCAATCTTCCCTTTTTTTTTTTTTGTACTGGCATTACATGAGAAAAAAACCAAACAGATTTAAGATGAAATATTTTGGCCAGTTCTGGAGAAATTTTTATTTTAAACTTCAGTCTAGGTTTCATTTAAACATAAGTGCAAAATGAAAGTTTTAAAATGAATGTATTGAGCAAGCACCAGTATTTTAGAAATGGCCAATCCTGGCATTAGAAATAATGTAATATTTTATCCAGAACAGAGAACTATATCTGAGCCAAAAATCTGTGAGAGAACTGGAGGGAATTAGAGGGTCAGGAACTTGAATTCCTCTCTCAAGAAAAGAACAGTCTAGGGCCAAATTTCCCCCTCATACAAGTGCAATCTAGTCCCACTGGCTTACATGAGAATTGCATGCAAGTGTCCACAGGATTTCAAAAATTCAAACTTTTATGGTCTAAAGAAAAACATTTTCATGTGCATTTAGATGCCAGAAATTCACTTCACACCAAAATTTGTGTCCTACCAATTTTACAGCAAAAACATTTAAAGAAATGGTTAAAAAATTAAAAAGAAAATCTGATTGGGGGACTACTTTTGTATCCCTCTGCCTTCAAGGCCAGTCTCCATTTATGCCATATGTGCAACTGTGAGGCTCTCAGAGGCAGAACAAACAGACACAATTAATACATTTTAAATACCGCTACATTAACCAAAATACTTTTCAACACACAAAAATGTCACAGCTTTAAAGGCTGATGTCTCAGGATCTTCCAAGACTAGTCCTACTGGGAAACTTGGGATCTCCCCTTTCCAGTGATATGAAGATGCCATTTCTTACCCTGAAGGAACATGAGATAGCAGACATAAAACCTTTTTGTGGTATAGGACAAATTATTGCCCCAGCTTGGGCCGCAGGATAGAGTAATTTGGGGAAATACATTCCACATTTGAAAGAAAAGAAGAAAACATTTCTCTGGCAGGTGGATTTTTTTTAAAAAAATGATGTCACGTTGAAGCTGCTCAGAGATTTTGAATGTTTGAAATAGTTCTGTGGGAGATGGATTAGAGGGCAGCGTGCAGAGAAGGCTAAATGCAGTTAGTCATATGGCTTCACAATTTATCCCACGGGTATTACCATCACAGATCTAATACAGTGAATATACATGGAATGGCCAATATAGCTAAATAGTTAGATATATACCCCTCAAAAATATTGTAGAGTAAAACATGGACTCATTTCAGATAATTTCAATAAAAAGATTAAAATTAAAAAGATCAATACTTTAAATATTTTAAAAAAACTATGGGCCTAATAGCTAATATGCTAAATTTAAAATACAGAAACCAAACTAACACTGCTGTTAGTAGAGAAGCAAGGAAGAAGAGTGGGGTTTCTAGTTTCGTTTTTTGTTTGGTTGGTTTTGTTTGGTTTATTTTTCAGGCAGCAATTTTATTTTCTTTATACTATTTAAATGAAGCGTTTTATTTTGCAGCAGCAGCAGAGTGATGCTAATACCAAACTGGTTCTGATTTGGAAAGTTCCCCCTCCCCATTCCACTGAATTTTCTTGAAAGGGTAATTTCATCTTTCCAAAGGGAAATAAATGTGTTTGTTAGGCAATTTATTAGGAGGAAACGCATCAAAAGTACAATATTACAATGGTAGACAAAAGAGGATTAGTGCCACCACATTTTTTGGTGTGAACCTGTCTGAGGGTGGAGGATTTATTTTGAATTGACAGTTAAAATGAACACTGAAAATAGTCCAGTGGAAACACAGGAAACCAATCTTAATTATTTTCACTGAACCTAAGTACGGTATGGTATTTGAACCTATTCCAATCCACAGGTACTGCTCACTACAACATGTTATGAGGAATTAACCCCATCATCAGTCTAGAATCTTGATGTGTAAGTTACAGGGCCACTAAAGTCATGCACACATACACACCCTCACACAAAATTCTATGTTCCTTGGCATTTTTTAATAGATTTGCTTTGCAGAATTTTGAACCATTATATTCTAACATTTGCCTTTGCAAACCGTTTCCCTTTGTGTCTATCTATACTTTAATCTAAAGACAACAGGCTCTCCCATGTTGAAATATCTCCACTTTGCATTTTCTCCCCCCAACCCCCCCCCCCCACTTTGGAAATTTCTGATGTGATAATCTTGGTATGGTATATAGTTTAAAAACAGGCAATGATTTAAACCTTCTTATTCGCTCTTTCATTTTGTTTAGGAAGTCTTGGAGAATAGCATTTAGAAACCTTTGAAATGTCCTTTTATGACACACACAGTTCAGCACTCTGGGCTGAACAAATGTCCCACAACCCTGCCATTTTCACTTCAATGGTACACCAGGAATTTCTCTTCCAAAAATACAAATGTTACAGATGTGGTGGGTGAAGAGGAGACCAAGAAAAGTGGTGCCAACTGCCACTGTTTCCTCACCTGCCATTGCACAAGAATTTAAAAGTGACAACTTAAAAAGCAGCTAGTATGTTAAATATCACATCAATAGAGCCTCAAAGGAAGCCCACTTTAAACAACACTATTAATGGTGCCTGGCACAGGTTGATTAGCATGGATCAGACACGTCTAGAAGATGAAAACAATGCTTTTCATAACACATCTGGCACTTTTTTTTTCTTTTGTTGTTGTCGTTGTTTTCAAACAGGCATGTGTAAATAATGACTTGTGAAAAGAAAAGCAATTCTATTATGAGGCATATGTTCCCGGGGTGTCAAAGAAAGAGCGTGGTGGATAAATCTCCATGGTAAGGTTGTTTCTGCCACTCACTGGCATATTTTTGGATACTACAGCAGACTAGTCAAATGGGTTTCATATGCACACTCTGAGAAGAAGAGGTCTTTGGAATGCCATGAGTCATGCAAGTCCGTACACTACAATAACATTAGGTTACTAACAACATGCAGAAAATGTTCAAACGTAACCTCCCAAAAAATAAAATAAACAAGATGAAGGCTTAAATTATCTCACAACTTCGAGCCATCTACTCTGCAAATTTCCCTTTTTGTCACAAGAAGCATATCTCTTGTTATATCCTGTTTTGCTTCAAGATCTAAACAGATGGAAAACTTCCAAGAGTTCCAGCCGAAACACTTCACAGTCTAGGCAGATTAACTCTGGAGTATTGGAGTTACTACAAAATAACACCGTGCTGTCAAATTTCTCCTCATCATTTACTCAATGTTCTATGAGCTTTTTTGGCAGTATAATGTCAGGAAGATTCCTCAGAGGGCTCCACTGCTAGATGCAGAGTTTTCTCCTCAAACCTAATGGAAACAAGCAGACAATGTCCAAAAGGAAACAAAAGTCATATTCCTGGCACCCTCTTCAAGGGGGGTTACAGTCTTTTAAAAAGCGCAAAAAATTAGTTTGTAACATGTTAGAGAAATCTGTCTGAATATTTATAAACACGAACAAAGTGATTATACTCTTCAGGACTCATTCCACTATGTCCAGCTACTAAATCTGCACTCCCTACTGCAGGCCAACCTTTCACTCTTGCAAAAGGGAACATCATGTCACATACAGGTGTTTTTGTTTTTTTGGTAGCAATGGGACACTGATGGCTTGGAGTGTGCTTGAAATGTCTCCGAACTTCATCTCTGAAGCCTCAAACACATGAGCGGTCATGTAGCACAGGCTCTGGGGGATTGGGGAGTTACCATAGGCCAGAAAATACACAAGTCCATTAGTACTCATCATAATTATTGAGATCTGTAAAATAGGCATTAGAATAGGTCTTTGCAGTAAGATGTGGATTGAAGTATTTGTTTCTCTCCTCCAAGATCAGGTTGTTTTTATTAAATGCCTAGAAAAAGAATAACAAAATGTTTTTAGTGGGCAAACGTCCAGGATCACTGATGCAAACAACAATGCAATGAGAGTGCTCTGAAATACACATGTTTACTACAAAACTCTGCATTTGTATGTGCATATGTGTTACAATGAAGTCCTTAACTACACGATCCCATAAAATATTGTTCCAATACAACAATATAACCTTATAGGGTTTTTTTCCCCAATCTTAGATAATCACATGTAGGTTTTTATACTGTGTATTCTTATTTCTTATACTACTTTCATTGTCAAAACGGTTCTGTACATCTTCGTTGACTTAGACTTTTTATATAATTTTCCTCTAGATTATGCATTCCTTGATTTTGAGTGTAAAATTTTAGAGCATGTAAGAGATTTAGGAGTATAAATTCCATTTTCAAAAGATATTTAGGCATTTTAAGGTCAGATTTTCAAAGGTATTTGGGCACTTAAACATGCAGATAGGTACCTAGTGGGATTTTCAAAAATACCTAAATAGGTTACCCCATTGATTGCAAAGCATAATCTCTCTTTCCTAATTTCCTAGATTCATTTATTTAAGAAACAAATGGAAAAAGAAAAAAAGAAAAAGATTCACTATCCAGGACTTCACAAACACTTCAGAAAATTTTGCTATAGCACATAAATTCTATAATCTGAATGTATTTGGCTAGATAGCATACAAATGCCCAATCTTGCATACTTTAGGAATTTTGCAATAGGAAGCTGTTCTAAAAGGTTATAAGTAGACTTGTCATGATTAGATTTGTTATAGGTAGATGTTGGTAAATGTCAATTTCATCATACACATAGAGACAAACAATATTTTCATTGATGATCATCAAAATTTCAGACAGGCAAAGTAAGAATATGTTGTTTCAGAATTTATTAGACATTGATTTAAGGATATTTACTTTATGCGTTTTAACATGTGATGTTGACAATTGATGTTTTAATAGTTATAAAGCTTTAACTTTTTGAATCTTGAAGTCTAATGTCATTGTCTGTCCCGCCCCCTTTCCCAGATCTCCCCCCATAATTTCCTCAAACTGTGAAAATTTAAATTGATAAAAATAAAAAATACTTAAAACTCACAATTTTGCACATCTGTGAAAATTTAAATAGATAAAAATCTAAAAAATGATTACAAATAAACATTGGCATTATCCATTGAAACTATATAAAATAAATTGAATTCTGCAAAGCTAGATGTAAGAGGTGAAACAATACAGAGGAATTTATAATCTATGGCAATGTAGTGTAGATATCGTTTTAGATTCTCAGCTGGTATAAATTTATGCAGCTTGATTCACGCTGTGCTATGTAGATCAACACCAGTTGAAGATCTGACCCATCACAGATTTGGTTAAAAGATTATAAGGCAGAAGGGATCACTGTGATCATTTAGTCTGACCTCTTGCATAACACAAGCCACAGAACTTCCCTGAATTAATTCCTGTTTGAACTAGAGCATATCTTGTCGAAAAACATCGAATCTTCATTTAAAAATTGCCAGTGATGGAGAATCCACCACAAGCCTTGGGTAAATTGTTCCAAAGATTAATTACCGTCACTGTTAAAAATATGCAACTTATTTCCATCTGAATTTGTCTAGCTCCAACTTCAAGCCATTGGATCTTATTAAAGCTTTGTCTGTTGAACTGAAAAGTCCATTATCAAATTTTTGTTCCCCATGTATGTACATATAGACTGTGATCAAGTCACTCCTTAACCTTCTCTTTGTGGCTCTTCTCTTAAACTTTCAAATTTATCCACACCTTATCTGAACTGTGGACATCAGTGCCAAATACAGAGGTAATATAGCCTCCTTACTCCAACTCTATATTCTCTATTTATATATCCAATGAACATATTAACCCTTTTGGCCACAGCGTCGCACTGGGAGCTCATGTTCAGCTGATTACCCAGCATGAATGTCAAGTCCTTTTTAGAGTCATTGCTTCCCAGGATTCAGTCCCTCATTCTGTAAGTAAGAGCTACACTCTTTGTATTAAGATGTATAACTTCACATTTGGCCATATTAAAGCACATATTTGTTTGCCTGAGCCTAACTTACAAAGCAATCCAGATCACTCTGTATCTCTGCTCTTTCATCATTTACATTTCCCTCAACCTTTGTCATCTGCAAACTTTGTCTGTGATAATTTTATGTTTTCTTGAAAGTCACTGATAAAAAATTATGTTCACCAGCTAAATCACAGACCTAGCATGGGAAAGAGGACAGAAGCTTTTGCTTCCTGCTATTTGAACTAAAGGAAAATCTCCATTAGGTATCACTATGATTTTTAAGTCCAAATCTACTTTTTAAACCAGATACTAGAGGACAGGAGTACTTGTGGCACCTTAGAGACTAACAAATTTATTAGAGCATAAGCTTTCGTGAGCTACAGCTCACCTCATTGGATGCATACAGTGGATATAGTATGCATCTGATAAAGTGAGCTGTAGCTCACGAAAGCTTATGCTCTAATAAATTTATTAGTTTCTAAGGTGCCACAAGTACTCCTTTTCTTTTCACGGATACAGACTAACACGGCTGCTACTCTGAAACCTGATACTAGAGGACGATACTTTCAAAGACAACAATTGAGCAATAGTCTGATTTCTTTGAACAAAGGCCAGTGGTGCATAAATTGTACATCCCAGCCAACACATGATAATGTCTTCAGTGTAATATAGGCTGGCGTGATAAGAAATCTAAAATTATTACACTACAAATATGAATCTAATTTAGTTATTCAAACATCTGATATTTGTATATTAAATATTTGTATGATCTTGAGTCCACCTTTCACTGTAAAAAATGTATCATTAGAATTCCTTTGGTACATTGTAATTACTGTAAACAGTTATACATAGCTAAGCATTACAGACAATGCTATCCATTGCTTACCTTGATGGCTTCTACAGAATCATATTTGTCCAGTTTGTTGATATGGTTAGTGATACTGGTATTAAGAGGAGCTGGCGACACTGGATGGATAACAGTTGCATCATGGGATTGCTGCTGATATCGTTGGCAGTAAGTGTAAACAAGCAGTGTAAGGAGGCAGCCAAGTATAGAACTGCTCAAGCCCACTGCAATCATGTGGAACATGTTAAACTCTGAAGAACGGATAGCAAAAGATAGCATTACCTTTAAGGCAGTCACAATAAGAGTTTTGAAACATTAGAAAAAACACAAACAGGTGCTTTGATTCAGAAGGGAATAAAGTATCTCATGGTGTTATGCATTTCTTGGAAATGTCAATCGCCAAGATTTTTATTTGTACTTAAAATACATTGCATATCTCTAGAGATCACTATAAGCATCTTATATCACCACATCTGTAATATTGATTTGGCTGGATTTTCAAAAGGAGTTAGGGGCTCAACTCCGATTGAAATTAATTGCATTTCCTTAAGTATCTTGAAAATCTCTGCCTAAATTTGGTTCTGTAAATTGTACTGCAAATTATCCAACATCACCATTTCCATGTTGTATTATAAAAAGATATATTATCTACACTAATTCATTTTGATTGAATCAAATCATCTCCTTGTATGTTGTTCTTCTAATTCTTTCTGTTATACTCAGTGACTAGTTGGGATAATTTAGAACAAAAGAACTAAGGTGAAACCCAAGTAAGTTTAATCAAAACCAATAAAAGACACCTGAACCCTGCTCTCCCTAAAAGGCTCTGGAAGACTCCTTTACCTGGTGCTTTCTTCCAGGGGCAATGGCCTGGTGCTTTTCCAATACCCCATTCACCTCTGGTGGACCCCCCTCACTCTTCCTATATCTTCAATGGGTGGCCAAGTTGCTCACTTCCCCATCCTGCATAATTATTTTTGTAAGTGGGAGTGGAAGTATTAGCACTGTAGGGAGAACAGGGGAACAAGGATTTCCCAATGTCCAATACACGCTGGAACATCTCAGTCTGAGAGTTCAAGGGAAGTGTAATGTACAGCAGTATAAGCAGGAATCTTTCCACTTGCTCCACCCCTAGATGATATTGTGGGGTCTGTAGAGTAGGTAGCCCCCATAAAGAAGTAAAATTGGGAAGCAAGCCCATGGGCTGCCCTTTTGAGCCAGATGCTCATTCCCTGATGGCATTGAGAGGTGAGAGACAGCAGGCAACACACAGACACACATACACCAAAAGTTGGCACCAGCTATTGATGAATTAGAGGTAAGTGAATTACATTGCCTTGTGCCACTTTTTCAAAGGTAGAGCTGCTTTTTTTGGTGTGGTGAATGAAGGGATAACAACAAGTAGTTCAAATTTTTATCCTGAGTACCCAGTTTAGTTTTGTACAAACTAACATTTGATTGACTAAAAGTGCCCAAATGAGGGATTATAGGCCTCAAAAGTATTTAGGTGCCTAACTCTCATTGATTATAATTAAGGCTAAGATTTTGTCAGGGATATTTTTAGTAAAACTCAGGGACAGGTCACGGTCAATAAACAAAAATTCACAGAAGCCTGTGACCTGTCCCTGACTTTTACTAAAAATATCCCTGACAAATTGGAGAGGGAGAAGGATCCAGCACCCACAGCTGATGGGGCCAGACTCTGGAAGTCATGGATTCCGTGACTTCTGTGACATAATTGTAGCCTTAATTATAATGCCTCAGGATCCGGGCCATAGTGTCTCTGCTGAAAACTGGGTAGTGGCACTGGAATATAGAAAGGGATGTTCATAGGGGCCCTATTTTCAGCAGGCACATAAATCAGTACTTATATGCCTCAAATAGGTTTTAGGCGCCTAAATGTGGATTGAGGTGGCTAACTTGGGTACTAATATATGTAAGTGGCCCATGAATCACTTTCCATCTTTTTGCAAAAGTTTTCCTCAGACACAGAATTTGGTAAAAATGTGAGGAAGCAGAAAACAATCAATTCAGAGTGAAATCTCAGAGTAGAACCCATTGTGCATGCTGATGACTTCACTTTTCCCCACTGAACTCACTCCCCTTTCCTTTAATGAAAAAGTGCTTCCACTGTACATAAGAATGCTAGAACCAGCCAGAGCTTTGACTGTGGCTAAATACTTAATAAGTGCAATTGTTAAAAACTAAAATAAAGTATTTTTATTTTTAAACAATTTCTCTTCCTGCTCAGGATCTGTTTTGCTAACATTGTGGTTGTTTTGTAGGAGATATTTTATTTTGTTTGTTTTGTTTTTGGCAGTTGGTCTGATAATGAGCTAGAGATACAGTCTGAGACATTAAATGGGTGACTAAGCTGACTCATAGCTGTTCATTTGACTCCCAAGGGGGGATGATGAAATTATCATCCTGGATTGGTCCAGTGAGTTTCCAGATTTTTGATCTGCAAGTAACTTGTTTATAATAGGGCTTTCTCCTGTGGAGAGAAGAGTGATTGCCCTTGGGGGAGGCGGGAAGGAGAGAGTAAGAACTTCAGGTAACATGCTGTTGACTCAAAGGTAGGCAGTGGCAGTCAGATATTTAATAAGGCAGCTTCTGGTAACTACAGTCTGTTTTTTCTCAGAAAATGTAAGTAATGAGAATATGGCATTTAGAAGGTAGAGTAAAAGAGAAGGGAGCAAGAGGTGGAACAAATAGAGGAAAAGTAGGAATCAATTATACAATTTAAAAAAAAAAGGTAAAGATCCTGCTACAGAGAAATGAAAAACTTACCACCACACAGTTTTTCTTCTATGCTGCTAGATCTTGCTACTGATATTTCTAGAAAAACAAACAATATAATTAAAATGTGTAGATAAAACATAGCAGAGATATACTAAGCTGATGAATAGAGAATAAGATTTTTTAAAAATTTATTTCACTATATTCATTCCAGAGCTCTGAGAAAAGATTTTCACCCCTGTTGAAACTGGCCAAAACCACCAAACAAATCTTCACTCTTAACTCCATGAAAAATAACACAAACTTTATTCATTCTTGTCTCAAAAGTCTCAAGAATTAAACAAATGGCAGATATTGTAGGTGGGAAACTTCTTTAATTGGCAAGCCACTTCTCCCCCACAAAATAGTGAGTTTCTTAATGGGGAAAATAGAAAAAAGTTCACAGGCTAGCTCGGGGGTACAGTAGTGGTGTTTTAGCATGAAGACCCATGTCTACTCGTGGAAAATGTCAAACTTTCATCTCAGATCAGTGTGACCTATGAGACCTTCATTGCCCACTGACAAAGGGTTTACTGTCATGTAACAGCAACTGCAATTAAGCCTGAAAAACTTACTATACCTAACACATTGCGGTCATGGTATGTATCTATAAAGAATGTCAGGTAAGGTATCAAATGAAAACTTATATCATACTGGTCATGATCATCACTGTGTGATGTAACAATTAAAAAGTTGTAGGTATGTACTAAAAATATGCTCAAACTATGAAACCAGGCAGGGTTTGGTAAGCAAGTTTGTTCCAGACAAAGGAATGCTGATCTGCCTGTCTGTCTGGGTCTCAAATGTAAATGGATCAGGGTAGGTCAAAGACAATGGGAATCAAATTTGTATCTGACGTCAACCAGAAAATCAAATTATCAAGAGGACAATCCCTTCCAAAGGCATCATCCATGAAGCATCATGGCTGTCAGATGGAGGGCCTGCAGGCTGTGACTGAGGAGGCAGATGTGGTCCTGAGTGATCACATCTCCCTCTAGCTGGAGTAGCAGTCTGACTGATAGCTCTACTACCAGCCGAGAACCGGTGTTGTCGGGACCATGCTGGGGCAATAAGTACAAGGCATGAATTTTGTTAACATGTGAGGAGCTATTGACAGGCCCAAGGGTAGCACTGAAAATGGAAGTGGGATCCATTTACCATGAACTTGAGGAAATTTTGATGGTTCTGACGAATTGCTATGTGAAAATATGCATCCTTTAAGTCAAGAGCAGCATACCAGTCCCCACGTAAGGGAATAATGGAGGCCAGAGTGACCATCCAGAAGTTTGTTTTCTTCAAGAACTACTTCTGCTCTCTTAGATCTAAAATAGGCCTGAGACCCCCTTTTGCTTTCCAGATTAGGAAGTAGCAGGAAACAGGGGAACTTATTCTATATCTCTCACAAGTAGGAGGGATTGCACCTCCTGCAGTAGCATGACCTCATGGTCCCTGATGACAGACAGGGAAGGGCGATGGGAGTGAGAACAGAAACAAACTGAAAGGTATATCCCTCTTCCACTGTGCTTAAGACCCAATGATCCATGTGATGTAGGACCAAGCATTTAGGAAATGGGACAGATGATGGGCAAATAGAGGGTGGGAAAAGATGGCACCGTTGGGACTGGTAGTATGACCTCGACCAATGTGTTAAAATGCTTGTTTGGAGGACCCATCTTATCTAGATGAGCTGGCAGTTGCAGAGGAGGAGAGAGGTACTGGACACCTCTGCGGACACCTTTTCTGCGGAAAAGGACCTAGGGGTGACAGTGGACGAGAAGCTGGATATGAGTCAGCAGTGTGCCCTTGTTGCCAAGAAGGCCAATGGCATTTTGGGATGTATAAGTAGGGGCATAGCGAGCAGATCGAGGGACGTGATCATTCCCCTCTATTTGACATTGGTGAGGCCTCATCTGGAGTACTGTGTCCAGTTTTGGGCCCCACACTTCAAGAAGGATGTGGATAAATTGGAGAGAGTCCAGCGAAGGGCAACAAAAATGATTAGGGGTCTGGAACACATGAGTTATGAGGAGAGGCTGAGGGAGCTGGGATTGTTTAGCCTGCAGAAGAGAAGAATGAGGGGGGATTTGATAGCTGCTTTCAACTACCTGAAAGGGGGTTCCAAAGAGGATGGCTCTAGACTGTTCTCAATGGTAGCAGATGACAGAACGAGGAGTAATGGTCTCAAGTTGCAGTGGGGGAAGTTTAGATTGGATATTAGGAAAAACTTTTTCACTAAGAGGGTGGTGAAACACTGGAATGCGTTACCTAGGGAGGTGGTAGAATCTCCTTCCTTAGAGGTTTTTAAGGTCAGGCTTGACAAAGCCCTGGCTGGGATGATTTAACTGGGAATTGGTCCTGCTTCGAGCAGGGGGTTGGACTAGATGACCTTCTCGGGTCCCTTCCAACCCTTATATTCTATGATTCTATGATTCTATGATTCTTGTAACCTCTGGCCTTCTTTCTGGACAGGTCCTGGGTACAAAGCATGAAAACTGGATACAGGGGGGCGGGGGACTGCTGTGGGCAAAACAGCTTTATTTTTGCCATCAGTGTATAAATACCCAGCGACTCAAAGGTTGCCCTTGAATCCTTGGGACTATGCAGCCTCTCATCAATTTTCTCAGAAAAGAGTAAAGGATCCTCAAATGGGAGGTCTTGAAAAGTCTGTTGAACCTCTGGGGAAAACCAGAAAACTGCAGCCATGAACACTGCTGAATAGTAATGGCCAAAGCCATGGCTGAGCAGCAGAGTCAGCCGCATCTAAACTGGCCACTAATTTGCCTTCCTCTACCACTGTGGAGAATTCTTGTCTTTAAAATATTATCCCACAGGTTAACATTGTAATGATCCAGTTATGTCTTCTGGTCTGCAATTCTGAATTGGAGACCTCAGGTAGAACAAAGCTTCCTACCAAAGTGGTCTAGATTTTTTTGCCTCTTTTCCTTTTGGCATTGAAACCTACATATCTAGTGTGTTAAGCTCAGTTTGCAGTTTTTGTTTATTTACTAAGGTAATCTGCTTTGATCTATTGGCTATCCCTTATAATCACTTAAAATATACCTCTTGTACTTAATAAACTTGTTTTTGTTTTTAACCCAGTTTGTGTAATGTATAACTGGGGGGAGGGTGTGGCGGGCAAAAAGCTGTGTATATCTCTCTCCATGGTGGGGAAGAGGGCGAATTTCAATTAGCTTACGCTGTACAGTTCTGGGTGCAGCACAAGGCAATACAATTTTGGGTTCACTCTCCAGACGGGGAGTGCACTTGAGTGCTGGGCAATTCCTCAGCTGAAAGCCTTCCCACGCAGTAGTGATTGCAGTGTCTTTGTCTTTCTGCAGATGCGTGTGTCCCTATCTGTGTGTATGCTAGAGGAAGCTTGGGGGCCTGGCTTAGCAGGACAGGGTGAGGGAGCCTAGCCTGGTGGGATGGGCAGGCTCAGTGGTACCCCAGTACATCAGGAGGCACACTGGAAAGCAACCCATCACAGTGGACAGTGAGCAGGGTAATGTGCACCACTTATTGCTCTGAGACACCGGTGGTGATTTTAAATGAGTTTTAAGTGTGTTGCCTAGAGAACAGACAAAGTGGCTACAAAGTGGTTTGTTGTTTTCTGTTTGCTTATTTCGGGCAAAGGAAGTAGAGGCAGAAAAATAAGAAAATTAGTGAAAGTGAAGCTACCAAAAAGTTGGAGTTTTACAGATTACAGGTCTAAGAAAACGAAAAGATGCACAAGAGACAGCTGGAATTAAGACAACTACACATAAAAGAACAGGAAACGGAAGAAGTCCAACAAAAAGCAGCCCATGAAAGGGCCATGGAAGCCCAGAAGCAAGCCATGGAACTGCAAGCCAAAGAAGCAGCCAGCCAAAAAGCTGCCCTGGAACTGAAACACAAAGAAATCAAATCCCAGAAGCAAGCCATGGAACTGAGGCAGCTAGAGGCAGTTAAAGCCCTGGAACTGAGAGACAAAGAAATGCAGGAGAGGGGAAAAAATGAGAGAAAGCATGAACTGGCCTTGATGGAGTGGAGGAAACAACCCCACATCGGGGGGGCACCGCTCCAAAAATCCACAAATGGCAGTGGTTGTGTCCTGCATCAGTAAGACTGGGGACATTGCTGAATACTTCATCACCTTTGAGAGGCTGTGTGTGCTCTATGAGATTCTTGATAGTCAAAAGATGACCACTTTGGTTGCAAAGTTGTCTGGGAGAGCTATGAATATATTCAATAAGATGCCAATGGGTGATACTTCCAATTATGGTAAATTCAAGGAAATAGTTTTAAAACAGTTTCAGATTACCCCTTTTACTTACCGAGTAAAATTTAGAAGCCTTAAGAGAGGGGCTGGAATAAGTAATGTGGCATATGTAAACCAAATGAGAGATTTACTCGATAAGTGGGTAAGGGGAAAAGGTATTTCAAGATTTGAAGAAATGTGTGATCTGGTTGCTCAGGTTCCTGAATATGTGTCACAATGATGTAAAACAGTGTTTATGGGATAAGAGGGTAAAAACTGTTGAACTTCCTATTTTTGCGGATAAATATGAACAGTCCCAAGCAGCTATTAGAAATAAATCACAGGCAGAGGGATTTAAGTTTGGTGGGAAGCAAGGTCACCACTTTACCCATGGAGAGAGGGAGGGTGGCCAGGAGGTGGGCACTCACCCTCCCAGAATCTTACCTCCCATACCCATCTCAAACTGCCCTTAAAAACAGGAGATCCTAGAAGGTGCTTCCACTGTAATTCTAGAGCACCTGAGACATAATTGCCCCAAACTGAAGGAAAATAAACCTCCCCTGACCCATATTGGCTCAGTTGTCCTCAGCCCCGAGGCCCCAGAGGGTACCCCCACAACTTACCACACCTGCTTGGTGGACATAGGACCTGGTGAACCAGACAGCGAACACATTAAGGTTGTCAAGATTGATGGTACAGAGTGCCTGGGGTGGAGGAATACTGAGGCTCAGCTCTCTCTGGTTCAACCAAGTGTTGTCCCAGAGGCTAATACTTTACCGTGCCAAACGGCCAGCATTAAGGGGATGGGGCCAGACAGGTTCCC